AAAACTTTTAAAGCACACTCAAGAGCTGCGGGTGTGATCAGGAGGGCCACCAGTACTAACACCTACTATCGATTTTCTTCACAGGAAAGATTTAGAATCAATTATAAACATACAATAAATTGATTCCTAGGGAAACATGCTCGGATGTAATCTTTGCAAGCCCCTCCTCAACTCCTTGGGTCTGCTCTCAGCCCACCTTTTCCCCCAATCCCAAACCTTAGCCCCTTCACCCTTCACTGTAAGTTTGTTTTGCTTTTCTCAAATGGAGAAAATGCTCCCCAAACTGGCAGCAAACCATGTTCTACAGAAGTATTTGAGCATATGCATTTCGGGCCGCGGGCACCCCCAGCCTTCTGACTTGTGTATTTCGCTCTGGCTAAGCCCCACGGACCTACACTCCCCCTCAGGCAGTCTAATGAGTTAGGCCATGAGACCTGCCAAGCAAGACCCTGGGCGGGCACAGATGGGTAGATCAGACCAAATGCCCCCAAATCCAACTGCAGAACCACCAAGGCAGGACCTTTCACTCAGGAAGTTTTACGTGGTTTGGGGTGCGTTTGAACAGGAATCTCTAGAGCGTTTTGGTTACTCCAGCTATTAGATCACATATACCTCATCTTTCCGTTTGGTGATAGAACCTCTACATGCAGCCAGGAAAGTGGGGAACATTTCATTAACCTGGCATCCTCTTCATTGCCAGCCTGGTGACTTATGTGAAGCTGGTGTTGCTAATGTCAAATTCTAGCCAGAAAGCACCAGGCTAGAAGATAGACTCCTTGACTCACAGGGTATGGTATAGTTTGGCCCTTCCTGAGGCCCACTCCCTCCTCACTGCAGCAAACCCCTCCGTGGGGTAGGACAGTGGCAGCCTTCAAGACCCGGCCTCTGTGGGAAAACTCAGAGGAAGCCCACCCTTCCTCCCTTTTCCCTAATCCTCCATCCTCTCTCTTGGTTTGTATGAAAGGACAGAGGTTTCTCTGACCCAGGATCAAACTGCAGGAATTAGGTAAGCGTGTGATTGAGTAAGCAGGATCTCCCACCCACCTCACCCTCTGCAAAGCATCTTCACACGCAGCATCTCCTACCCACTCGCCAGGCCTCCCAAGGAGACAGTCAGCTTCCTTCAACAGGCAGGACACAGAAGCACAAAGAATGAATTTGGGTTACCCCAAGATCCCCCAGCAAGGGGAGGTAGAGCCAGGATTCCTCCTGGCATTCTGATTCCAAGTCCAGGGTGGTGGTCCTCCCCCTACAATTCCAAGGAGGATGGGGGCATCTTTCAGGCAGCCTTGTGGGCTAATATGGGACCTGGCTTGCCACCAACAGGTGGAGACATTCAATTGAATGCCACCGTCACTGAGTCTCTACTTCTGTGCAAGGTACATACCAAGAGTGGGGAGGGCAACAGATACGGCTTCCCTGGCCTCTGGCTCAGGGAGGGAGAAAAAGCTTTCCAAACTGGCAGGAAGCCAGATCCTACCAAGGGCAGGCCCAGAACATGGGCAGTGCTCCAGAAGGGCAGGGCCAGTTCTCCAAGGACCAGATAAAAGGCATGTTGGCTCTCTAATTGGATACCATGGTATCTCGAGACTGCTAAGGCCTTTAGAAACTATCTGGGACTTCTTTACAGAGTAGGCAGGTGTTTTGCTCTGCTGGCAGTAGAAGTGGCTAGATCCTTGAAGAGGCTCCAGTAAGGTACACAGCTCTTCTCCCCAAGACCTTGACATCCAGCCCCAGTGTGAGCTCTGCTAAGAGATCATGATTCTAGTGCCCACTTTGACAATAGCCTCCAGCAAGTCCTTCTCCATCTTCAGTTTCCTCATCTGAAGCCAAGCCACAGGGCTTCTAAAAGAAGTTCCTCACATCTCTAACCTGCAGCTCTAAAAGAAGTGTGAGGGAGGCTGGCTACAAAGAACCCCCTGCAGACTTCTGAGGACACTTGGAGAATGAGATTCTCCCAAGAGAAGTGCACATTTCTATCTGAAATAATTTGATGGTGGGATGAGGCACATAGACCCTGAAGCCAGCTGACTGGGTTCAGATCTGCCCCTGATCTGCCAGCGAATAGCTATGTGGCCTTGGGTCACTTTACTCAGTCTCTCTGTGCCTCAGTTTCCTCATCTCTAAACCAGGGGTCCTGGTGAGGATTAACTGGCACAGGCTAGCTATTAATATGATTTCCCCAGACCCCTGGACACAGCTTTGTCCCTTCCCAGTCCTCTTGGTTTCTGCCACAGACTGTCATCATTTCTGTCCCTGTTCCACTGCCAGGATTTCAGCCTTCCCTGGATCCAGTATCTGGTCAGGAATGGGATAAAGAAGGGCAGGCACTGGTGTGTTGCCTGCTTGATGGGTACCTTGCCTGAAGAAGCTTTTTGCCTCAGTCTGTTACTTATTTTCTGATATGGAGAGAAACTGAGTCCATCTCTCTCTCTCTCCTTAATACCTCCAAGTGGAGACAGCTGTGTGAAAACATGTGTCCTTGGCTTTCAGGGGTGAGTGAGGGAGACCAAGCTGACCAGTCCCACTCATGAGGGATCCTCTCAGAGGCAGGTACAACACAGAATTTCTGATGTTTCCATTCTACACACACACACACGCGCGCGCACAAGCGGGCATGCGTCAGCTCCCTGAGGGCAACGGCTTTTCTATTTTGTTCTCTGCTCTAACCTCAGTGCCTAAAACAATGTCTGGCACAGAATAAGCATTGAACAAATAAATATAATTCTTCTAAAGGAGGGAGAAACATTCCACTGACTAGGTCTATTACACTTGCGTAGCAGGGTCTAGTCTTGATTTATTTTCCTCATCAATAGGTAATAGACTTTATGGCTAGGAAAGTAAAAAAGAACGTGCTTCAGATTTCTCTCCTTGAGACTTGGCCTCTAATTCTCTCAATTATCAACAGGGCCTGTCTTTCAACCCTCCCCTACCCACACACTCACACCTCGCTAAGTGCTGAGAGCCCAGGAGAGACAAGGTTTCAAGGGTCTGTATTTAAGACATTGGGGGTCCACGTGACCTCCTGGGAATCTGAATTGTCTTCATAGAGAATGAAGCTGCTGTTGTTCCATAGTTCTGGCACCCTCGGCCGCTTGGTTAAAGCACGTGGAGATGTATCGGTTTTTTTTCTTTTCTGAGTGGGGAGGGGCATTGTTTTCTGAAAATGCATAGTGACAACACAGTGTCATTAGAGGTGATTGTTGTTAATAATAACGGCTGTCATTCAAGGACACATTTGTGACTCAGGCCCTGGGGCCAAACTTAGCATCTTCTTTCATCCTCACAACAAGTTCTCGAGCACCAGATCAATTTGCAAATCCATTTTACAGATGAGGATACGGAGAGTTGACGCAAGTCACATGGTTTGTAAGGGAGCCGCCAGAATTTGAATCCAAGACTCCAAAGGGAGCTGTTCACTGTCCCTCCCCAACCCCCGTCTCCTCAACCCCTGACTTCTTTCTGTCTCTGAGTGATAAGCAAAGCAAGAAATTCACATGAAATGAAATGTGACTTGGGAGAGGAGTCAGGTAGCCACTATCTTAGGAGAAAAGCTAGAAAGTCAGTAGTATAGTCCAGCACACTGAGTCTAACCCTTCCTGCTAATATAAAACCTATTGGACCTTCTTCTGGCTGTGAGACTGAAGGCAAGTAATTTAACCTCTTCACACCTCAGTTTCCTCTTCTATAACAGGGAGCCATCTTCTTTAGTTGGAAGGTCTAATGAAATAATCTATAAATAAATTATTGTTCTCCCAGTCTACTGCAGAGTAGTATTTATACCACCCCCTGCCAACTGTGGCTGCCTTAAATGTCCTCATTTTACCCTTCCAAGTTAGGGAACCTAGAGGAGAAAAACAGTGGTTTGTCCAAGAGCTCAGGCCGGAAGTGCCCACAAGGAAGAGGAAGAGTCTAGAGCAGCCTTTACAGATGGTTTTGCAGAAAACGTTTTGGTTTCCCTTTTTAAAAAAGATGTAAACACCTTCCCAGGCTCCTCTGACATCAGCGTGTCAGTGATGAATCATAGGGAATCTAAACGCACGCACTAGGTAGATCAGTCTCCATTTTTAGTTAAGTTCCTAGTGGCTCCGCTGAGGCCTTGCAGGAGGGTCCCAAGTCACATGCACTTCGTGAAACCTTAGCTCCTCTAGGCCCTCTGGGGACCCCGTCAGATGAAGAGCAGAGCTGTGCAGAGGCTGAGGTGCTCCCTTCCGGCATTTCTCCTTCTTTTTTAAAATTTAAAGCAATCTGCACAGAATTTTTCTGCTTTCTTTTTTTTTAACAGGGACACAGAACCAACGTTTTCAGGCTGGTTCTTGCTTGCGAGTGAGGGACTTCATATGTGATGAAACAGAGGAGGGGAGCCCTGGGAGCTATTACATTTAAATCAATGTTTAAAAACAAAACAAATTTGACCATCTCACTGCTTTTTAGATTGATGTGTATGTATGATTTTTAAAATTCATTCATCCAGAAATGACTTCATTTATTGAGTATTTACTAAGTACTCAGATGTACACCGACCCTCTGCTGAAGGTGTCAAGAGAGGGAGAGATGTGAGGAAAATCTGGGTAGGCCTCCTGGAGGAGGAGGCACTGGCCAAAGTTCTACCAATTGGAGTTGGGAAGGAGTGTACTCTTGCAGGCTGGTACTTCAGCATGAGTAAAACCCCAGAGGTGAGAAATCTTAGGACTATGTAGAGAAGAAGGGAAGCAGTATAGCTGCAGGGAAAAGGCCTTCTTTCCCCTTCTAATTTGCTACTTCTAAGTTGCTGTGAATTTAGAAGCCAAATATCATAGATGTTAGAACTGTGTGTAAAGCCCGAGTACATGAATGACCTCAGAGCAAGCACCTGAGGATGAACAGCAGTAACAGGGGACAAGGCTTGGGCGACTCAGAAGAAGCTTCCTGTGCCCTTTCAGCTTGGCAGAGCACGGGGGGTGGGAGGTGAGGTACAGGCTAGGCGCACACTAGCACTGTCACTGCACGGAATCCAGGAACTAGGCCTGCAGGGACAGCAAGAGTTCCCCCTACACACAAATAACCCCGTATGGCCCCTGCACTGCCAGTAAGTCACAGCCCAGCCCAGCCCAGCCCAGCAACCACCATTTGGTCCAGAACCTTATTTTAGGCTCTGGGAATGGGCTAGGGGAGTGGGGGTGGGCACAGCGGAGCCACACACACCTCCGGCTTTTCAGGAGGGGCCTCAGGGCCTGGGGAGCTAGAGTCTCAGCCAAAATCTCAGAGGAGTCAAGGAAGCGCTAGAGCCGGAAACACAGGAGAGACCGAGGCTAGCCAAGGAGAGATGGGTAAGCCACACGCCGTTGGGAAAGGCTGGCTATCTTACCGGGCCTCAGCTGGGCGTCCTGGCCCTCTCTACCCACCGCCCAGGCCTGGGGCCCACCTCCCCGAGCCCTGGAGCGATAGTGCAGCCCCAACCCCGCCGGAGGCCGAGCTCACCATCCTTCGCCTGGCTCCTGGGGCCCCACACGGTCCCGGGCCGGGGGCGGGGCACAGGGGTACGCCCAGGCTCTTACCTCCGCGCGGGCTTCCGTCCGGCCAGCACAGTTTGTCGCTGGGACTGCGGGGCTGGGGAGGCTCTCACGGGCTCGTATCGCGCCTCCCCGCCCCCCGTCCCCCGCGCCCGGAGCCCCTAGACCGTTCGGTGGCCCCGAGTGGGGACGCCGGGATTGGGAACAGGCGCCGCGCCGGCGGGAGAAGGAGGCTCCTGCGGGGCGCGGTGGGGCGGGGCGGGGGTCTCTGCCGGGCCCCGCCCGGGAGGGGACGTGGGAGCGAAGATCCCGGAGAACAAAGGCTGCTGGGTGAGCTCTGCGCCCCCCCTAACCCCCGCCTCCGGGTCTGGCCCTGAACTTGAACTTGTACTTGACGCTTCTTCCGGAAGGTGGCGGGGAAGCCCCTCCGAGTTGGGACGGGGCTGGTCCAGCCACCTGCCGTCCTGGGAGGGGCGAGCCCGCCCCTGTCTGAGCCCTGAGGGACCCCGGCGTCCTAGGGCCCCGCGCGCTCCAGACAGCCCTGGCTCGAGGGTCCTGAGGTCCCCGGGTTCCCTCGGATGGTCGCGGTCCTGGGTCTCCGACCCGGAGGAGTAGCCCGGGGCCCTCGCCGCATTCCCTCCCTCAGCCCCACCCTGTCCTGAGCCCTGCTGCGCGGGGCAGGCCAGATTCTCTGCACGTCGCGTCGGCTGCCGCTATTCAGCGGCTAATTGAACGTTAATGGCAGGTGCGGATGAGGTCACCGGAGCTGGCTTTTCTCACACATTTTTCATGCAAATTCGAGAAACTCTAAACAAATTTGAATAAAAAGCTCTTTGTGCCCCGCTCCTCCTAGTCGTCTCCCTCCCGCTCGAGGTCCTGGCTCCTCCCGGGGCCCTGGGGCTCGAACTGGGAGCCCCGGGGAGCGCCGCCTGCCGGCCAGCGGTTCCGCCCCCCCAAGTGGCCAAATGCGGCCCGGGCTGCCGGGGGCGGGGGAAAGATGTTTCATTTGGGATCGTGGGTCTGGTCCTGCGGGGTGGGGCCTTTAGGGAGGACGTGTGTGCAGTTAAGCCCGGCATCTGGATAAATGGGGCTGCAATGCTCCCTCCCCCACATCACACTGGGCCGGCCACGTGGGCCACTCCGGATGGCCAAATTGGCCTCACTCTGGTTCTTGGTTAAGTAGGAATAAGGATAGTGTCCAGTTAGGCACACAGATGTGAGGATTAAGTCACGATGTAAGACACAAGCTAGCACTTAGAATAGTGCCTGGCACAGTAAGTCTTGATTATTCTCTGGGGTCCAAAGGCCTTCTGAGAATGAATGTTGTGATGAAAGCAGGCTTGTGAATTTGCTCCTACATGAAAAAACTCATCAGGGGCTTTCAAGAGACTCACTGCCCCCTGCATCCCATTCTGGTCACAGACTTGATATCTGGAGGCTAACTCCACTGCTTCCAAGCTGTGTGGCTTTGCCTATTTCTTAGTCTTTCTAAGCCTCTGTTTCCTAGTCTATAAGATAGAATTCAGTCTTATGGGGACATTGTAAGAAGTAAATGAGAAGACGCTGATGGAGGTTGAGGAGGAGCCTGGGGGCTGGCCCCCAATCCAGAACCTCCAGGACCCCTCTCCCGAGGGCAGGACACCCACAAGGTAGGCCTTGCACTGGCCATGACCTTCATCTTCTTGCTCTGATGACCCTAGCTCAGGGCAAGACTGACTTTCCAAGCCCTGTAAGACTTTTCTCCAACCTTTCCACCCATTCCAAGGTCCCCACCACACCTCAAGACACAGGGGTTGTTTTTGCTGGTGGCGAAACACTCATATTGCTTTCCTCACTCATGTCCTCCTAGAAAAACTGACCAGAGACATGGAAGGCTTTGCAAAGAAAATTTATTTGTGGTAGGCTACAAGAAAGGCAAGGGGTTCACAGCAAAGGAAGAGACCTCTCCGAGAGCTTGCCCTAGTACTGGAGGACCTGTGGGCCGTGGAAGGGTCCTGGTGATTCAAGCTGCCGGAGCGCCGTCTCTGCTCTCCTACTTCTGCTTCTCCACCCTCAGCCTTCCCAGAGCCCTGAACCAGGCCAGCCTCTGGCAAACACTGGAGCAGCCCTCAGGAGCAGCCTCATCTTCCTGCCAAGGACCCCAAGGAACAGCCAATCCTATGGGAATGCAGACGACCAGCAGCCACGTGCTCCTTTTGTATGAAGCTCTGGAACCCTGTAAAGCCCTACTCTTACCCCACTGTCCAGGCCAGGGCTGGGCACAACCCAGGGGATGCCATTGCGTGGAAGTGGGGGAGAAGCCCAGCTAAAAGACTATTTGAGGGGTTAATGTTTCCATATGTGGGTGCTGGCAAGCAGAGTCTGCAGTTTCAGGGACAGGCTGTAAGGATCTCTTTGGGGCCAGAGTACAGATTTCAGAGTCAAAGAGACTTGGTTTTGATCTCAGTTCTGGCACTAACTTAGCTGTGTGACTTAGGACATATAACAACTTTTCTGGGCCTGTGTCTTTGCCTGCAGAATTGGTTCACCAGTGACACCCACATCCCATCAAATTATGAGTCACTGCAGTAAGGCTGTGACCTGGCACCTGACTGCCCTCTGTACTTGGTCACTGTTAATGCTTTTATCTCCCCAGTCCACTGGCCCCACAATCAATCTGAAGTGGCTGTAGTGCCCAGGCCTCAGGGACCAGGTTTCCCAGGCCCCTCTAGATAGCCCCATTTTGCCTCTTGACCTGCCCCTGCCCCTGTTGCCTCCCAGGCCACTGAGGCCCAACTGAGAGCTCTGCAGGCTGCTGCAGCCCCCAACCTAAGGCAGGTGTAGCCTGATCCAGTGCCCCTGGGATGGGGGGCGGGTGCAGCGTTACCTCCCAGAGGCACTTTCCAGGCCATTTACTCTTTCAGGGATGAAGTAGGGGTGGGCACCCGCACCTCTTCTGCTCTGTGATGTCTTTCTCTCCGGACACATGCCACTTATGCAAATAGCGCCATTCCCGGCCTGGCCCCCACCCCCTAGCATGGTGATACTTTTGGGCTGTGGCCAGATGGGGGCACTCCCCAGTTCACATGTCCAACACCTGGCATGACTCCAGGGCCTCCAAAGGTGCCTCCTAGACCCCAAACAAGCAGGTCCTCAGGGCAGAGGGGGAACATCTGCCAGGAAGGAAACCAGAAGCCAAGGCCTACCCACCATCTACCACCCACCTCCCCTGTCCCTAGCCAAGCTCCTGACTCTGCCCCTCACTTCAACAAACCCATCAACCTCTTTCGATTTGGTGACACTGGAATAACGACACCCATGTAAGCAAGATCCAGAGACGGTAAGCCTGGCACTTAGTAGGCTTTCGATTAACACTGGCAGCCATGATGGCATGTAATTATTAGGCCCCAAAATGGCCCATGGCTGAAGCCACCAGTGACTGTGGGATACTTTCTCGTGCAACACCACCACCACCCTCTTGAACCCATACCAACTTAGTTGACAGAAGTTAAGCCTATTATATTGAACAACCAACCCCTTTATATTTTTTCAATAAAAATATCTTAGGAGCACAAAAACATAACAGTATAGAAGAGTGCATTCCCCCACCTCCACTCCCCAGAGGCAGCCTTCCAGTATATATTTCCAGAAACGATCCATATATAAACATACTTGTAACTAACTTTTAAACATCTACAAATAAGATCATACTCCACGGCCTGTTCTGTAATTTATTCTATTCGCCTTATCATGTGAACTGGCCAACCTTCCACATCAACTTATATATGGAGATCTACCACACTGATTTTTACAGCTGCATGGTATTCCACAGTATGAACGAACCATAGGTTCCTGTCCATTTCTTTACACTCTTAAAAAGAGATGCTCTGGCTGGGTGTGGTGGCTCACACCTGTAATCCCAGCACTTTGGAAAGCCAAGGCAGGTGGATCACCTGAGGCCAGGAGTTCGAGACCAGTCTGATCAACATGGAGAAACTGTCTCTACTAAAAACACAAAATTAGCCAAGCATGTTGGTCCATGCCTGTAATCTCAGCTACTTGGGAGGCTGAGGCAGGAAATTAACTTGAACCCGGGAGGCAGAGGTTGCGGTGAGCCGAGATCGTGCCATTGCGCTCTAGCCTAGGCAACAAGAGCGAAACTTGTCTCAAAAAAAAAAAAAAGAAATGCTCCTCTGATGAACGCCTTTGTACATAATTCTTTTACAAATATGCCCAAAAATAGTGCCATTTGTTTTTGACCAAGTATATGTGCCTTTTACATATACATATTTATATTGCCACATTTCCAAAAACAGTGTACAATTTACACTCCCCAACTGACAGTATTTGAGTCTTCAAATAGGCATGTGATGCTACAGAAAACACAACACTAGCCAGCCAGTCGGTACAGGCCACAGAGGCACCCATGGAGCCAACCGAGACCAGCACTGGACCAGCGCACTGTCCTCAGGGCGGTTCCCAGTGGTCTCTCCCTGTCCAGGCCTGTGTTGGCTGGCGGTCCAAGGGTGCCCTGAGTCAAAAGGGAGTGGGGCCCACAGGGGGGCTGGGTGGAGGGCAGGGAGCACGGCTGGGGTCCCGCCTGGATGATTTCCTGCAGCCATTGTCTCTGCCCTGCCTGGTCTCCTTGGGGTGAATTTATTCAGGGGTCTTTGGAGAGGGGGCTAGGCAGGAGGGTGTGCGATCTTCACCAAAGGCACCCAGGAATGTGTCACAGAAGGGGGGGAGTCCATCCCTGGGAGAGACGGGACGTCAAGAACCCCTGACTAATGAATAGTGAGTCTGCCCTTGAACCTCACTGGGTTTCACCATTCTCAGGCCCAGAACAAGAGCTGAGACACGTCTGAGCCCAGCTGCTCGGGGACGGCGGCGGTTCATCTCAGACACTTTGACAGGCCGGGCCTTTTCCCTGCATAGCTCAGATCTGCCTCCCAGCTCCCCTGGCAACAGCACAGCAGCATGGCTCCTGGGTCCAGGCCCTGCCTGCTGTGAGCAGGAGGAGGGAAGAAGAGGAGCACCAAGGGGAGGACTGGCTGGGGAGAGGGAGCCGTTAACTCCTCGAAGGCTGGAGTCCCTTGCTCTGGCAACACTGCCAGGGTGCTGCCCTTGGTCCTCAGCGGGAAACGTGATGAAGAGCTTCTGTTTGCTGGAGGCCTATCCGGAATGTTCCATGCACCTCAGACCCAAACAGAACTGGCTAGGGATGACAACAGATATGGTAAAGAAGATGCTAGGCCAATGGGCCAAAGGCAAAGGCCCTTGAGGGATGGGTTGGGGTACATTTTCCCAGGTCCCTTGCCAAGTCCCAGATGGGCAGGATTACAGTGTCCTCCTCCTCCATCTTGGCCCCTGCCTGTGACAACCTCAGGACAGAGGTTACTTGCTCTCCCTTCCTGCTGGGCTTTTGTCCTTCTGGGGCTCTTGCATGTCCTGGGCTGGCTTGGCTCTGTATGCCAATCCTGTGACCTTGGCAAGAACCACATTCCTCTGTCTCCATTTCATAAAAGCTGAAAAGAGGCTGTCCGATCATACTTCACTTCACAGGACGATCTAAAGATAAGAGAAATAATACGTGAGAAGCTTTGCACTCTGGGGAGGAAGGTGTCCTATAAATCTCATTCAGGTATTATTAGGGCTGAAACTAGGTATTTCTGCTCCCTGGGGAAGGAAGGGCAGTGGGCTGTGGGGAGGAGCTCCTCCAAGGTTGTCTCAGCACCTCCCCAGCAGGGCAGTCCTGAAGCTCAAAGGCAAGAGGTCAGGAAAGTCAAGGGTTTATGCCTGTGGCCTTTGAAGCCTGTGGGTACAGCTCCAAGTAAGAGGTAAGAGAGAACATCACTGCAAGGCACTTCATCTGTATTATTTCTATGCCTCACTGCAACTTTATGAGAAAGGTGTGGTTGTCTTTGTTAGAAATAAGGGAATAGAGGGTCAAAGAAGCTAGGGAGCTGGCCCACGGCCACGCCAGTCATATGTGGTGCTGAGTCCACATCCCTGTCAGCTGTACCAGTGGCAGAGCTGCCTAGCTGGGGTGCTGCAGAGAGGGGTCAGCACCACAAAATAGTGTTTCCCCCATGGTTGCTTCTCAGGGATTAGAGCTTTTGAGTCAAAAGGTTCTGGTCCAAGGAAGTGGAATGGGGCAAGTCCCAAGGAGAGCACTGCAAACCCACCTTGAGGACCACCTGGGCAAACAGAGCCACTAAGGCAAACAGCATCCAGAGCAAACGGGAGTGAAAGGAAGGACAAAGGCATCCAGAGAGGCTGGGAGTGCCCCTAGGTGGGACTTGCTCTCTGCCCAAGTCCCGCTTCAGGACAGGTCACTTCCCCACCCCACGGCCATGCCAGCCGTGAGCTGGGTTTTTGTTTTTGTAGCCTCTAGGTGATGGTGCCTCCTTGCACTCAGTCCAGCTTGAAAGGGACAAAGCTAGCTGGGTTTCCTGTGAGCCAGGGGGTTGGGAGCAGGGGTTACTGGCAGGTAACAGTAGAAACAGCAGGAAGAACTCCCACAGGGCAAAATGCAGGGGCCAAAAGGGACCTCAGACACCATCTTATCCAATGCTCCTTTTCTTTTTTTCTCCCTTTCTCTTTCTTTTTTAAGAGATAGCATCTTGCTCTGTCATCCAGGCTAGAGTGCAGTGGTGCGATCACTGCAGCTTGGAACTCATGGGCTCAAGCTGTCTTCCTGCCTCAGCCTCTCAGGTAGCTAGAACTATGGGTGCACTTCACCACACTTGGCTGTTGTTTTCCTTTTTTAAGAATAGGTCTCGCTATGTTGCTCAGGCTCTTCTCAAACTCTTGGCCTCAAGACAGCTCCTACCTCAGCTTCCCCAGTTACCGGGATTACATGTGTGAGCCACTGCACCTGGCCCAATGCTACATTTCTAAGTCCAGTAAAGGAGGTGGCTTGCCCGAGACCACTCAATGGGAAAGTGGGCTAGAGTCCAATCTCTGAGTTCCAGCTAGGTAAGGTAGCATCTTCCTGTGCCCTTGTCACTTTACCAGACCACCTTAGGCCCTCAAAGCCAACAGTTTCACCCAACAAGGCAAAGAAAAAAAGAAGTCAGCATTGGCCAAGTGCAGCCAGCACGTGTCTAGGCACGGCCTCGGAAAGCCTGGGGCTGGAGGGAAGACACTGCTTGCCTTGAGGCCAGAATCTCCTTGATGACAGAACATGGCTCTGCACTTCCCCAACACCACACTCCCACTCTCCACAGTCAGATAACAGAAACCATGAACCTCCCCTGGCTGATGAAGAATCAGGCATGAGGAATTAGATCGGAGCACAAAGACCCCATCATCCTGACCCGCAGTGCTTCTGAGAAGAAGGGACAGGAAGGACGGGCAGCTCTAGGGTACACGAGGGTGGTGAGAGCCCACAGAAGCAGCTCTTCCCCAGAGCCTGGTGGCAGGTCTGCTGCCAGCTTTGGGCAGGAGCTGGAAGGCCCTCAGTTCACTGCCCTCTGCTTCTAGGTCCTCTTCCAGGTCAGGCAGGGTGCCCCACCCCAGGCAGGCCTGACTTGCTTGAACGCAAAGGAAATTTCAGGATCCTGCATCCTGCAACCTCCTCAGGGACGTCTGTATGGCGGCTGATAAACGGACTCATGATAGGGCAGGAGGACAGAGGGACAAGGTATGCCCAGCTGTGCCCTCCTCCCTGGGTGGTTCGGGCCAGCTGTCACTTTGCCTGGTTGGTGTCCAGCCTGCACAGGTGGTTAAATATTCTGAATATCACCATTGTCCCCACCCCCCAAATCTCAGCTATCTTAAATGATCTGAGAGGCTTAACTTCTTCCTATCTGCCCCATATAGAAGGGAAAAGGAGAAGAAAAATTAACCCCATGAAATGCTTTCCATGTGCCCAAGAGTCTTCACAGCAACTCCAGCAGAGGTAGGAATGATGACACTCATTGCACAGATGAGGGGTTGGAGGCTCAGGGACATCCAGGGTCTACTGCAGTCATGGCAGAAGCAAAGCAGCACCCTGGGCCTTGGCCCACAGTGTCGTCCTCTGTCCCTCCCTCCAGCCAAGGTCCAAGGCCTGGGCTGCCCCCGTTCTGCTGAGCTCAGAACCATTTGAGCTTTGCATTTGCACCCCCACCTCAATTTCCTGTCCCTCCTGGGTTCTCTCAGGGCCCATCCCCTGAGACAATCAGGGGTTGATCTCAGGGGTTCTCTCCCCCGCCCATCTAGGCAGGGAAGCCATTCTGCCCAGCATACTTGCTTAGTTCAAATCCCCACCCCGGACTAGCCCAACAGCATATTCCTGGCTGACCAAGTGAATACCTGCGACTTACAGAGGCTTCCTCTAACTGGGATTGGCAGCCAGAGGATTTGGGGACTGGGGTAAGGGTGGAGGCAGCTACCAAACAATAAAAGCTTAGCCATGCAGAAAGGGCCAGAAAGCCCTAATCTTGAGAACTTTCCTCCTGAGGGACAAAGAGGAGATGACGCCTGGCTGCACGCAGGGCCTGAGCCCCAGCCCTCCACTGGGCACCACCCGTGCTGGGTCCAGCCCTGCAGGGCCACTGCCATAGGAGGGGGAGCTGCACTCGGAATGTGATTCCCCAGCTTTGCATGACACTCTGTTAGCAGAGTGCGACTCCCAATACACCCTGTCACCTCCTAAAGCCTGGGCCAGCCCGCCCCACAGCCACAAGGATCACCAGATTAAGGAGCTCAGAGCTACAGCTGAGCCGGCTAAACCCCAGGAGGTAGGAATGGGGAGGGGCAGGGAGGGCGGTGGGCAGCTCCCCCAAGGCCCTGCTGCCCTGCTTCTTCTCTCAACCCATACTATGGGCACCTCTCTCACTCTGTCCCAGCCATGAAGCATTCACTTCCATCCTTTTTTCTTCCTCGAGCTTTGGACCTTAACCACCAGTTATCCAGCTTGGGTGAGGAGTAGCTCAGGGAGACAGTGAAAGCAATAGAAAAAGAGGCCCCCCAGAAACAGAAATAGAAAGAGAGAGAGAGGCGGGGAAGGGAAAGGCAGCCCAGATGGAAGGAACAAGCGCACTGCGGGTGGGAACTGGGTGGGAACTGGCTGGCGCAGTGGCAGCGGGAGGAAGGTCCCTGCTGGAAGGAGGCCCAGGGCCTCCCCTGCCTTGCCTGAGTGGCTGGCTATCTGAGGTGAATTCCAGAGGCTCCTGTGGGTGGCTCTAGCCAGCTGCCTGGCCCCAGGGCAAGGTACATCCCACAACACCTGATGAGAGAGTGGGAGGGTGCCAGAGATGGGGAGGCTGGCA